AATATATATTTTAGTTTGTAACCACTTTTTTGACCGCCATGTATTTAATTTAATTAAATGTAGTTGTATAATACTATGCTGTATGAAAATTTGTACGTTGAGTGAGGTTTCTTATTGTATTTGTTAATTGAGCCAAAGAATGTTAATATTTTTCTTGTAAATAGATTTACTATACCTATTTAGTGAGGATTAAAATCAAATTTTTATCAGATTTTAATAAAAGTTGATGGAATATGTAGTTGAAAAGTTGTGAATCTCATGAAACGTGTTTAAAATTAATTGTTGACTTTAATTTTGATAATAAAAAAATTAATTCCTCTCAAATAGGGCTTTATCAGAGAAAATCTCACTAGAGGTAGTTCATTTTGTAATTTAATGTCTGTATTTTTAATTTGATGAACCTTTCTTTAATTTTTTTGGTTTATTTGCTAATTGTTATAGATAATAATTCACATTTAAAATTATATATATTGTTTATGCCTTCTCAACTAGTAACTTTGATTTTTGATTTGTTTGATGTCTTGTCGGCTTATTTTTTAAGTTCCGTTGCTATGTAGACTTATTATTGAATTGTTATTGTCGTGTTGTCTTGCGACTTAATTTAAACGAATTAACGCCGGCCAGCCTAAATTCCGAGATAAATCAAACACCATATATTAAAAGAGGAAAAACAAAATATACATATAATTGCTGCATAAACAAAGCCAAGTTCGATTGTTACATTATTTGCAGTAGTTGCAAAAGTACAACCCATAAGAGCAGGGAACCCAGAAAACAGGATCATAGGATCCGATCAAAAACCAGGACTAGGCAGTAAAAAAACAACCTTAAAGAGGCTGCCATGGCCAAATCCATGTCTCAGAAACCCAAACTCCTGAATTACCCAAAAGCATCTACTGACTACGACCCAAAATAACCTATTTTACAGAGGACAGAGATGAATACAAAGATAACTTTCTAAAGACACGATGCATTCCCTAGCAGACTCGAGAGAGAGAGACTAGAGAAAGCTTTATTCAAGATACGATGTACTATGCAGCAAAACAGATTGATGGGCGGACGCTAGTTGAAGGTGGACAGCCGGGGACTTTACTGTGACCGAAGTGGAGTATGCACCGCACCATAGGAGGAAACTCATCAGCAAGACGCAGTAACAGTATTCACATGAAACCATAGGCAGTAAAAAAAGGTAAAGTCTCCCATATGAGAGACTCCAAAGTAACAACAGGCTTTTCGAAGATGAAGAAGCCGAAAAAACGGGTTGATAAAAACAATCTGCCACGGTATCCATGGAAAACAACCGAGTCTACTGAGTTACCTAAATTCCCATAGTTGATGACAAAACTCAACTGAGAAACGTACTGTAAGTGCTTATGAGAGAATGTCACATCTCCATAAGTTCTCCGTTAGTAGCTCAATTGTACGGTTCCCAATGGAAATGCAATGCTGGAGATTCAGCCCCACTAGTGTCCTTCCGAGTTTCTTAAGAGCGGAAATGCTCTTGTTGGATATCATTGAGCAGCCTGATAGGGAAAGAATCTGCAAATTTGGTTGCACTCCACTCGATAAAGCAGCAACACCAGAATCAGTGATTGAACACTTCGAAAGATCAAGATCATTGAGCAACGGACAGGTGTTTGCAAGCACCCCCAAACTTGCATCGGTAATCTTCTGGCACCCATCAAGATTTAACAATTCAAGGGTTGCACCATGCAACCTGGCTAGAGAAAATACCACTTCATCCGACAAATTCACACAATCACTAAGATTGACCTTAGCAAGTCCCGACTCACAGCTTTCCAGAAGAGGGAGAAGACCAGTATCTGTTATCCCACATAGCCCACTGAGATCCAAGTGATGTAAATTTGGACACAGCTTCCCAAGCATAGCCAAGCTAGTACTACCAAATCCTGGGCAACTTCGGATGGACAACGATCGAAGAGATTCACATGGAGATAGCATTAGAGTTTCAGGAGATACATCCTTAATTCCCATGCACTTCACCAGGGTAAGAGACTTTAACTTAGATTTACAGTTTGAAATAGCATTTAGAATCCCGGTTTGGGTAATCCGGTTGCACTCCTCTAACTGCAAGCTCTCGAGAGAGCCAACCGCTTTGGCAAAAGCAACGAGCCCATTGTCAGACACAAAGCAACACTTCCGAAGACACATTTGCTTTAAGTTTGGATGGCCCTTTCCAAGTGCTTCGAGACTCAAATCTGTTACCCCCCGACATGAAGTGAGTGCCAAAGATGCCAGTGTTTGGAGACCTCGTGCATTACCCATCACCCAAAAGCCCTTTTGGCTCACATTTTGAAGTCCGCTCAAGAAAAGACTTGTAATGGACTTCCCATAGTGCCCTATTACAGCAAGAGAGTAATCTGTGATGTTAAGAGCTTGAAGTTTCACCTTTGTCAAAGAAGAAGCTGATGACAAGAGACTCGCAACGCCCTGATCCCCAACAAATGGGCAGTCTTTGATTGTAATGGATTGTAGCTTGGTGCAATATTTCCCGACCGCTTGTAGACTCTCATTGCTGATGTTTGGACAAGATTCAATCGTTAACGCAGTCAAATTTGGACAGCTTTTTGCTATTGCAACCATACTCTTGTTCGAAATTGAAGGACATTGGCAAAGATCAAGCTTCTCTAATGAATGGCATTCCCTTGCAATCTCAAATAGACCTTCATCACCAATTGAAGGGATGTTCCACAATGAAAGATACCTGAGGGAAGGGCAACCACGGGCAATTGCTGACAAACCAAGGTCAGTAACACCCCGAATAGAATTACTTCCTCTAATCGAAAGTTTTCCAATTCCACCACGGCTGGAAGTACAAACTGCAATAGCAGCAAGTCTAAGATCAGTTGCTTTCTTCCCTTCCACACACCTCGTTAGATATCCATCACACTCCACTTCAAGATCCTCATCTGCAGAGATTGATTCTATGTTATTTGAGGCTGGATCCACGTTCATATCATCTGATTGTCCCCGTGGGGCCTTGCTCCGGTAAAACTCAGCACTGCGGACCCCACTCAAGACCGTAAGCCAGCGCTTTGAAACACAGGCAGATGCACTTCTCTCTCGGCCTCCTGGCAGGTGTCT